AAACTTCGGAGTCGGGTTCGGATCGGATTTACGAATCGGGTACGGTTTGGTACTTCGAATACGGGTATAATGCTTAGGCCTATGTACAACAATGAGTACTATTTTCTAAAATAATATGCATATTTGTAAACTAGCACCATGTTTTATTCTACATAACATGTTAAAAAAAAACCATAGCATGTTATTTAAATAACAACATTTCAATTTAGTGTTGTCTTTTTAAAAAAAAAATTATACTAGCCATTTACTTAATCAACTCTCACGATATGATAGTCATGTACCTAAATTACTCAACAAAATAATGCAATACAAGTATAATCATGATTGACAAAGTCTTATCTCGTATGTACGAAAAACAAATAAAGAATCTTTTTGTCGACATAATTAAGGTACTTCATGTCGACAACATAAACAAAGTTGAAACTGTTGGCTGAAAATGAGGAATCTTAAACTTCAAAATATTGTAAATACTCGTATCCTTCATATGTGTGAATGATGTAACCACAAAAATAGCAAAACTGTTTTTTATCTTTATCAAAAAAACTTCAAAATTTTTGTCACATGAATTTGTTCAAAACATTTCTGCGCTATTCACTTTCTGGTCTTAGAAATGAATGTTTTAAATAAATGTTAGAGAACACATGTCTTTGTCCACAATAAATGAGATTAAGAAAAAAAAAAACAAACAAAGAATCTCTATTTAATTGACTCAAAGTTTTCTTGTAACACAAACTCATCTCTTTCCTCTCACCTTCCCATACTTTTTTTCTCTCTCTGTCTCTCTGTCTCATCAACAATGTTACTAATCATATCTTTCATCATCGTCTCCTTCTTCTTCTTCATAATATTCTCACTCTTTCACATACTCTTCCTTCAAAAATTACGTTACTGCAACTGCGAGATCTGCCATGCTTATCTCACTTCAAGCTGGAGAAAAGACTTCATCAATCTCAGTGATTGGTACACTCATCTTCTCCGGCGATCTCCAACGTCAACGATCAAAGTCCACGTCTTAAACAGTGTTATCACAGCGAATCCATCAAACGTTGAACATATCCTCAAAACCCATTTCCACAGTTACCCAAAAGGCAAACAATTCTCCGTTATCCTTGGTGATCTTTTAGGCCGTGGAATCTTCAATTCCGATGGTGACACGTGGCGTTTCCAGAGAAAACTCGCGAGTTTGGAACTTGGAAGTGTTTCTGTAAGAGTTTTCGCCCATGAGATTGTTAAGACCGAGATCGAGACACGTCTTCTTCCGATTTTGACTTCATTCTCCGACAATCCTGGTTCGGTTTTGGATCTACAAGATGTGTTTAGAAGATTCTCGTTTGATACGATTAGTAAATTGTCATTTGGGTTTGACCCAGATTGTCTCCGGTTACCTTTTCCGATGTCGGAATTCGCCGTCGCTTTCGATACGGCCTCGACGTTATCGGCGAAACGAGCTTTAGCTCCGTTTCCTCTGTTATGGAAAATCAAAAGGCTTTTAAGAATTGGTTCTGAGAAAAAGCTTAAAGAATCGATCAATGTGATAAACCGGTTAGCTGGTGATTTAATCAAGCATCGGAGGTTAACCGGTTTAATGGGTAAAAACGATTTGATTTCGAGATTCATGGCGGTGGTAGCGGAGGACGATGACGAGTATCTCCGAGACATCGTTGTGAATTTTCTATTGGCGGGTCGGGATACGGTTGCAGCTGGTTTAACCGGTTTTTTCTGGTTATTGATGCGTCATCCGGATGTGGAGAACCGGATTCGGGAAGAATTAGACCGGGTGATGGGGACCGGTTTTGACTCGGTCACTGCACGTTGCGATGAAATGAGAGAGATGGATTATTTGCATGCGGCGCTTTACGAGAGCATGAGATTGTTTCCGCCGGTTCAATTCGATTCCAAATTTGCTTTAAACGATGACGTTTTGTCTGATGGTACATTTGTGAAAAGAGGGACTAGAGTCACGTACCATGCTTATGCAATGGGTCGGATGGACCGGATCTGGGGTCCGGATTACGAAGAGTTTAAACCGGAGAGGTGGTTGGATAGCGAAGGAAAATTCCGGCCCGAGAATCCGGTTAAGTACCCGGTTTTTCAGGCCGGAGCTAGGGTTTGTGTTGGGAAAGAGGTCGGCCATCATGGAGATGAAATCCATAGCCGTGGCAATCAATAGGAGGTTCAAAACACGGCTCGCAAGTCTCGAATCAACCAAAACACTCCGGTTTGCGCCTGGTTTAACCGCGACAGTTAATGGTGGATTGCCGGTTATAATCCAAGAAAGGAGTCAAGACTCATAAAAGCATTAAGTCAAGATATAAAATAATACTTTACAAAACCATAGATAGAGTCTGTGTTCTCTAACTGACCAATTATTGTTAACATGCAAACACACTTGTTAACAATATCTATGTGTATCATTATCTCTTATTTAATTTAGCAAAGCCAAGTGGGTCTTAATTTCTCGGAATCTCAATTGTATAATGCTTAAATTTAATATGATTACGCAATTGACCCAAAAGGCGTTCAGATTTATGTAAATTTGAATAGTTTATTTTAGAGGATGGTTTATGATAAGATTGCTTGATTCACACGAAGTGTATATGAATGTAGTGATTAGTATTGCGGATTAAAGGATCTGGGGTTTTATTGGATAATTGGCTCGATAACCATTAATTGTTAAGTATATTTTAAAAAGTTCAATTAATTTTTATTTTACTAAAAAATAGTTATTCTTTACATCAACAATTGATTCAATATTTTGATTTTGTTCTCTCTCAATCTCTCTCTTTTTTGAAAGAAACAGCCTATCTTCCCTTTCACTTGAAAATGAGTTAGAAAGTAATATAGTACAACACAACTTTCTTTTTAGGCCAGACATCCCAAAAAACATCTTTCTATTTTCTAGTTTCCAACCAAAATTCATAACTCTATTTTATCTATCGAATTATACGTTCAAAAATCCACGAAAAATATCCAATTAGTGTTTTCTCGACTTCGACATGTTTGTTATCTATTTATAGAAGATTTTTCTTCTAATGGCTGGACTCACATAAAATATTTCCTTGCAAAAGTGTTATTTAAAATATAAGGTATGGTTAAAGATAAATTTAATACATATTGTAGTGTTAAGGAGATGTTTATGATTTTAAAATAAAGTAATTGTGAATTGCCAACAGCAATATTCTTATATTTAGAAGAAAAAACTACAATATACTTTCTATAAATAAAAACATGATTTAGGTTTTTGAATCCAAATACTGGACACAATAATAATATTCACACAAATAAATTGACTATTATTAGTAAGTCTTGGTCATCTAAATACTTTATGAATCGAATAAAATACTTTTATTTATCTCAATATATATATATATATATATATATATATATATATTATATTATATTATATAGGGAAGTTGAAGTCGTTCTGGTGCCCATAGTATGATAAGATAGTTTTGAGATGAGGTGGTTTCGAATAAATATTTTATAACGTGGAATATATAACTATATTAAATACACTATGAATCTATGTATATAATAGGAGAGTCCTCTCTCCATTTAGGCTATCCACATCATCATCCACATAAGCAACTCTATTTATTTTACATTAATATAAATTTAAAGCATTCATTTAGTGTATATATTTATGTCACTTATAATTAATAGAAAAATTAAATAAATAAAAAAAAACAAATTATGTAAAATATAAAATAATAAAAAGAATACAATAAATTTTTTATTAGTAGTAATAATATAATAGAACTTTTAACAGATAACAATTAAATATAATTCAACTTCAAATTTTTAATGTTTATTTAAAATAAATGCTACACAAATAATGAAAGTATTTATTGAGTAAAAGTTGTTGAATTTTCTTGGTCACCTTATTTAAACAAATGAAAAGTTGAGGAAAACTTGAAAATTTTAGTGACATCCTTTGGTCTTTGCTTACATAATGTTTTTAAGTTTGTTATGTTTTTATTATTATTATGTTTTAATAAAGTGTGAATACTTTCATATTATAGATCTAATTTTGCTTGACATTACTAAATGTGGTCTAACTCCCTCTGTAGTAGCATTTCTTTACATTTTTTTTTTTTTTTCCTTTACAGTTGAAATTCTACATATTTTTGGATAACTAGATGAATGTGGAATTGAAAGACTTTGCGGCCCGTGGGTTTATTTATTAATAAAGAAATATGATTGAGAAATTGAAAAGAGACACGTTGAAAATGTGAAGTGCATGGTGGATGTAGAGGTGGAATCAATTTGGGTAAAGTGGTCATTTTGTAAATTAAGCAATGAAAAAGACGGCTAACTAATTAACAATCTTACAATTTTCACATAGTCCACATTTTTTTAATACATAGCTCTAATCTACTTATGAGTTATGCCGATCACGATCACGATAATATCTCGATACCTATGAATATGACCAAGTAACTATAAAAACATCAGATATCTTTTGCCGGTGTAGTTATGTATTGATGTTGATCACATGGTTTCAACAAATCCCACCGAGAGGTCACAATTATGTCGACAACTTTGTTCCATCTGATGTGTAAGAATGTGAAAAAGTAGATTTGACATGTCGACTGGTTTAAGCAAAACGGCGAACCGAATTAATAGGGCTTAGTACAAGTGTACGACTTGTTTTGGATCCATACAATAAGAACTTTTCAATGTATATACATAATTAACCAGTAGTAAGTGGAACCATGAATTTTCTTTTGTACTGAATGTTTTGGATCAAATTAAACGAAACAAGATTTAGACGTGACATCCCAAAATAATAAATCCTCTATATATAATTTGTGGGAGACAGAGAGCCGTTCTTATCGTTTTTGAGGTCCTAAATTTTTTTTAAAAATATGGTCTATTTTTATTCGCAATTTTTCTGCTATAAAAGTTTGTGAGAAACAAATAGAGATT